CCTGTTATCCTGTTATTTGCTGTTAATCTGATAGAAGGAGGTGTTTAGCTTCGTGACGTCACTGACTCCACACACACACACACACACACACACACACACAGATCACTTCCTGCTCATTTAACTTAAATAGTTGACTATACATACACAAACTGAGACTGTACAAAAACTTTACATAAATACTGTAAATGAAATTGTGCAAAAGAGATATTTTGGGGGAAGCAGCACATAGGGCAAGATGATTTGTACGTAGTGCAATGCACAAATAAACATATACAGTATGATCAAATGAAGTCTTTGTGTGTGGGAGTGTTTGTAAAAAGTGTCTAGTGTACATTCAGAGAAAAGAGTGTGACATTTTCTCATGTCGGCAACACAAACAAACTCCAAAGATATGTTATTCTCTGAAGTGATTTACCAGAATCTCAGACTTGCAATTGTTTCAATGATTTGTTCAGAGATGCTGATTTCTGCTGGTATATGTGATGATGATGAGAGTTAGATATAATAAGACTTCTGTTTCATGCAGTGATTGTCGTCCACAATCCTCCTCTCAGGAGAAGACGGAGCAAACAAGAACCTCCTATGAGTGAGTCTGTACTTACATAAATACTTGAAATTATGTGTGGGAAATATAGGCAATTTATCCCTATCAATACAGAAATTATTAATTCAACCTCTTACTGATGGACACTGGTCATTTTGATCTGTGATGCTGGATTAAGATCAGGATCATATTACATATCACATGTGTTACTGTATGATGTGAGGATTTTGAACAGTGAAAGTTTGACTCTTTGCAGTGAGGATTGTTGTTCTGGGTTCGAGCGTGTCAGAAAACAGTCTGGTGGGAAACTTCATCTTAGGACGAGCAGCGTTTGACAGTGAAGCTCCTCCAGATGTTGTAGAGAGAGTCGGAGGAAGACTGAAGGACAGACACTTGATGCTCATCAACAGTCCTCAGCTGCTCCAGAGGAACATCTCAGATCATCAGATCACACAGACAGTGAGAGAGTGTGTGCATCTGTCTGCTCCAGGACCTCATGTGATCGTGCTGCTCCTCAATCATGAGCCGTGTTCAGCAGAAGATCAGGAGTGTGTGGAGAAGGTGCTGCTCTCTTTCTCTGAGCAGGTATATCAACACACCATGGTGCTCAGCACACAAGAGCCCACAGAAACCAGTGATATCCTACAGAACATCATTCAGAAATGTGCAAACAGACACTTCAGTCTTCAGAGGAGCAGCTCTCCTGATGATCTGCTGCAGACGCTTGAGCACATTGAGAAGATGAATGAAGGACTTTATCTGCACTGTGCTGAAGCTGCACAGTGTTTCACAATGGAGCAACAGAACACAGAGAGACGTGAGTCTGATGATGCTTGAAGTTCCTAGTGATAAATGAACATGTTTTAATCTCCTTCTTCTGTCAGTTTCAGAAGGTGTGAAGCTGAATCTGGTTGTGTGCGGGAGCGACGGCACATTAAAATCCTCTGTATCAGATCTGATCCTGCAGCAGACAGACAGAAGATCAGATGTGGAGCTTCATGGTCGTCTGATCAGTGCAATAGAGCTTCCTGCTCTGATCCGGCTCTCAGAGGAGGAAGAGATGCGTCAGACTCTCCGCTGTGTGTCTCTCTGTCATCCTAGAGTTCATGCTTTCCTCCTCGTTATTCCTGACGCTCCTCTCAATAATGAAGACAAAGCAGAAATGGAGGAGCTCCAGAGGATCTTCAGTTCAAGAATCAACAAACACATCATGATCCTCATAATGCAGAGCTCAGAGCATCAGACAGCAGAACTCAGTGAAGAAACACAGTCTGTCATTGAGAGGTTCGGAGGACGACATCATTTCTTTGGTCCCAAAACACAAGTGTCCTCGTTGATGGAGAACATCGAGCAGATGCTGGAAGAAAACAGAGGAGAGCATTTCTCCACAGAGATGTTTCTGGAGGCGCAGATGAAGAAACTGATGAAATATGAAGAGATGAAGAAGAAAACTGACTCACTAGAGATGCATTTACCATCACAAGGTAAAAAAAAAGTTTGATATTAAACTACACAGCATGTTTTAAAATAGATTTTTTTTTACTGCAGGAGTGTTTCATTCTTTATTAGATTTTTATACATTTGTTAAAAAGTTAAAATTCAAAATTCAATTTAAAAATTCGAGTTCTGATTGTTGAAAAATAAGGTCAAAGCTTCATTGTTCCACAGGAAATGAAGATTTTTACAGTAGTCAAACTGATAAATTAAAAAATCCGATCTCTGTAATGTTTTCTGATACATATTAATCATGCAGCCCTTAGTGAAACATATTAGTTGTTCTGCATATTTTCTCTAGAAAACTTTGCAGATAATGTAAATTTGACAGAGGGCAACTGCTTCATGGAAATTAGAAAAGCACACTAATGTCTCTGAACTGTGTACATTGTAGAGTGACGTGTACATCTTCACAATGCATTTCCAGACCACACAAAACTATATGAATACTAAACAAGCAGACAGCAGACCTATGTCACAGAATGTAATTTTGGTGAAAACAAACTTTAGGCTGTCAAACTGATGCAGTTCCTCTCTTACAGGTTCATCAGAGAGTGAAGATGATCTGAGGATTGTTCTGCTGGGAAAAACTGGAGTGGGGAAAAGTGCAGCTGGAAACACAATCTTAGGAAGAGAAGCGTTTACAGCAGAGACATCTCATGAGTCTGTGACTAAAGAGAGTCAGAGAGAATCATCTGAAATCAACGGGCGATGTGTTTCTGTGATCGACACTCCAGGACTGTTTGATACTGAACTCAGTAACGAGGAGATCCAGAGAGAAATAACTAACTGTGTCTCCATGATCCTGCCTGGACCACATGTGTTCATCATTGTGCTCAATTTAGGACAACGATTCACTCAAGAAGAGGCAACAGCTGTGAAGATCATCCAAGAGACGTTTGGTGAGAAATCTTTAATGTTCACCATGGTGCTCTTCACCAGAGGAGACGATCTGAAGGCCAAAACCATTGAACAGTTTCTGGGAAAACCAGGATCTCCTCTGATGAAGCTGATTGAAGCGTGTGGAAATAGATTCCATGTGTTCAATAATAATCAGACTGCAGACCGAACACAGGTGACTGATCTACTGCAGAAGATAGACGACATGGTGAAAGAAAACGGAGGGAGTTTCTACTCATGTAAGATGTTCAGAGAGATGGAGAGAGAAAAACAAGAACAACAGATGAAGATCCTGATGGACAGAGTCAGAGAAAGAGAAGAACAGATGAAGAAACTAGAAGAAGAGAAAGAGAGAATGAAGATGATGATGGAGGAAGAACGACAGAATCAGGACAAAGAGAGGAAGAGAAGAGAAGAGGAACTGAAAAGAGAAATAAGAGAACAAGAGAAACATCAGAGAGAGACACGAGACGAGATGAGACGAGAACGAGAGACATTTAGACAAGAGACAGAGGAAATGAAGAAAGAAAAAGAGAAACTGCAGATCAAATATCAGACAGAAATACACAAACTGATGAACAGAATAGAGAATGAAAGACAGAATCATGAAACAGAGAGAAAGAAAAGAGAAGAAGAGTTTAATGAGAGAGAAGAGAGATATAAAACTCTAATGAAAGAGAAAGAGAGAGAGATGAAAGAGGAGATGAAGAGAGAACGAGAGGAATGGGAGAAACAGAAACTAGAGGAAAAGAGAAGAAGAGAAGAAGAGGACGAGAAAAGAAGAGAGAAAGAACAGAGAGATTGTGATGAATTCAGTCAGAGACTGAAAGAAGAGAGAGAGAGAATGGAGAGAGAGAAAGAAGATCTTCAATCTAAACATGAAGAAGAAGAAAACAAGATGAAGATCCTGATGGAAAGAATGAACAGAGAAAGAGAAGAAGAGATGAAGAAACATGAAGAAGAGAAAGAGAGAAGGAAGATGATGATGGAGGAAGAACGACAGAATCAGGACAATGAGAGAAAGAAAAGAAAAGAAGAGTTTAATGAGAGAGAAGAAGAGAAGTGAAGAAAGAAAAAGAAAATCTACAGACAGAAATAGACAGACTGATGAACAGAATAGAGAATGAAAAACAACATAATGACAATGAGAGAAAGAGAAGAGAAGAAGAGTTTAATGAGAGAGAAGAGAGATATAAAAGAGAAATGAAAGAGAAAGAGAGAGAGATGAAAGAGGAGATTAAGAGAGAACGAGAGGAATGGGAGAAACAGAAACTAGAGGAAAAGACGAGAAGAGAAAAAGAGGACGAGAAAAGAAGAGAGAAAGACAAACAGATTCAGAGACTGCAGAGTGAAATGGAGGGAATAATCAGAGAGAAAGAGAGAATAGAAAGAGAGAGACGAGAACAACTGGAGGATTCAGAGAAGAGTCTGAAAGAAGAAAGAAAGATGAGAGAAGATCAACAGAAGACTCTTGAAGAGAAACTGAGACTCCTTGAAGAACAGCATGAAGATGAACTGAAGAGAAGACGAGTGGAGTGGAGACAGGAATATGAGAAAGAGAAAGAGGAGATGAAGAAGAAGATCAGCTCTGAAACTGATCAGGTGAGTCTTCAAGACTTGCATGTTTGTTCAGATTGTAGTCGCACTTTTACTATTAATAATATCCCACAAAAAAATGTAAACAGACAATTAAAGTTATTTTTACTGAATGATGTGTTGGTTTCAACTCCAAAAGGTCACAGCTTACAGGAAAATGGAGACTGAATACAGCGAGTGGTCCTGGCATCTTCGCAGTGCCATGATCAAAACTGAGAACAAACTATACAACAAAATAGAAAATGAAGTGATTCATGAGATTGAGGAAACTGATCTTCACAGAGAACTAAAGAAGACAAGTGAAGAAGTGAAAAAATCAATGTCAGAATTATTTGAGAAAGACAGAGATGCAGATAAACTGATTCAATGGAAAACATCATTTGAAATCAAAATCAAAGAGCTTCAGGAAAACATTGTGAGAGAAACAAAGAGGAGATTAAATGAGGTTCTTCAGCAGCGAGACATGAAGAAAAAGATTGATGCTCAGAGAGTGTTTTCATGATGTGTCCTCTATGAAAAGAGGAAACATCTCGCCTTAAAACTCAGAGACAAAACAAATGATGAAGAAACACTGAAGAAAGATTTTGATTTGTTTTGGGAACAGTGGATGAAGAAGATCATCAGAGACATTCCTGCAGTCAGAGACATTGACATAATGAGAGATGTGAGAGAGATACTCAGTGACATCTATGTAAGTCTTCCTGTAGATCACTGGAGGGAGAGCAGGGATATTTTCACTGTGCAGCGTTATTCAGGTTATGTGAGGGTTAAGAGATCCAGAGGAATTACAGGAGCTTTTACAAATGCCATCAGATCAGCTCAAGAGATGTTGGGTTTTATTCTCTCTAGAGAGGATGAAGTCCAGATAAGATCATTAGTCACAGATGTTGCTCAGCAGACAGACAGAATGATTCAGTCATTTAACATTTCAAAGATGGGCTACAACATCAGCTGCATTCAACAACTCACAGATTACATCAAAGCAAGAGTAACAGAACATCAGGAAGAACAAGTGAAATATGTGTTTGAGAATGAATTCTTCAAGGATTTGGTTCTGTCCATCTGTAAGAGATCAAACAAGAAGATCACTGACCAACACAGACTGTTCAGAGAAGCCAATGATCCTGTCCTCTATTTGGAGAAGAAGAGAGAAGTGTACTATAGTGTTTTCAAGAAATACTGTCATGGAGCTGCATCAGCTGCTATTTTTGGAGAAATCATCTGTCAGAAAGAAGTCAGTCGGTACATCACTGATAAGTTCAGTGTCAGTGTTTTACACAAGATGAAGATGAACATTGAACTCCTGCTGCAGAAGATCATGAGAGCAGCTCGTGAATCTACTGAACATGTTCAAGTGAACAGAGGAGATGCTGGTTTGTGGTTGAAGAGATTCTCACAGCAGCTCTCAGATGAGCTGATCTTCTCTGAAAAACACCTCAGTGGACTCAAACATGATGATGTTGAGGATTTCAAACTGCTTGAAGAGGTGATAAGAGATGAACTTCCTGCTATAGTGTCTGACATCAGCTGTAGATTCAACACAAAGACATTTCCATTAAAGCTGGACTACAAAGACAGACCAGATGAGCTTCTGATTGATCACTTCTGTCAGTGCTGTTGGGTTCAGTGTCCGTTCTGTAAAGCTATCTGCACAAACACCACAGAAAACCATCCTGGAGATCACAGTGTTGCTTTCCACAGAGTGAGAGGAATTAATGGCACATGTTATAATTCAACACAAAATCTCTGTACTGATATTTGCTCAAATATGGACGCAAATAATTTTAATTTTAATTCACCAGATGGAAGATGTGTTTGGAAGAAAATCAAAATAGCAGGGGCTCAAAATGCCATCTGGAGCATCACTCCTGGCCTCTCTAATGTAAGCTACTGGAAGTGGTTTGTGTGCAGCTTCCAGAAAGATCTGGAGAAATACTACAATAAAACATTTGTGGGG